AGGACATCATGCTCGAAAGGGTGGAAGGATCACGCACAGAAGAGGAAAACCCCAGATGAGATGGATTGACTCAGTAACTGACTAATGGGAGTAGGTATCAGAGACTATGAGATTGGCTCAGTAACTAGGACAATGGAGGTTCTTGTGTCAGAATCAATGAGACTGGCTCAGGAAAGGGCAGGCTTCAGAGCTGCTGTACATAGAGCTGCTATGGGTTGCAGGTGACTCGATGGCACGTAGCAGCAACTAAATAAGGATAGTAATAAAAGTGCCTTTTTTAGGCATATTACAAGGAATAAACTAGGATATAATAGCGTATGTGTCACAGCATAATGTGGGTGCATAATAAACAAGAAAAAACCATTTTTTTAACCATTGTTTAACCATTGTTAATAATTTAACTGTATTTAATTCATCATTTTATTTACCCTTATCTCCCTCATTTAACTTTTCCGGAAAATTTAAGTATCTCTTTCAACCTCTAGTTTACTAAAGGAAATTGTTCCTAATCTCTCATATAGAGTAAATTTCTCCTTATGTTATAGTACCTCTAAGGCAAAGGCATTTGACTGTAAGGATCATAACAAATTATGGTTATTATTAAGAAGAATGGAATCCCAGAACACTTAAATATACTCACATGACCAAGAAGCTGTTATCGGAACAGAACAAGAGAACACTACGCGGTTTAAAATTTAAAAAGGTGTATATCAGGGTTGTATCTTTTCTCCATCCTTATTCAGTCTGAGCAAACCATTTGAGAATCTGGATCTTGTGAAGAAAAATGTGACATCAGGAACAGAGAAAGACTCGTCAATAACCTGCATTATGCAGATAACACAAGCTTGCTTTTTAAAATTAGGAGGACTTCAAACACTTGCTGTAGAAGATTAAATACTACAACCTTCAATATCTCAACATCAAGAAAACAAGCCTTCACCACTGGACTAATAGGCAACATCATGATAGATGGAGAAAAGATTGAAATTATCAACGACTTCATCTTAGATCCACAGTCAACACCTTTGGCTGGCATCAGCAGTAGAGATGTCAAAAGACATACTGCTTTGGGAAAGTCTGTTGTCAGTGACCTCTCCAAGTACTGAGCAGTAATGATGTCAATTTGAAGACCATGGTGTCCTGATTCAGGCCTTGGTCTTTTCAGTTATTTGCTATATGTCTGAAATCTGGACAGTGAATTAGGATGACAGAAGAAAAAGTAAAGCCTTTGAGTCGTGGTGTTGGAGAATAGTGCTGAATATTCCATGGACTACCAAGAGAACAAGCAGAAAGTGAATCCAGAGTGTTCCTTGGAGGCACAAATTGTGAAGCTTCACCTCATGTACTTTGCATGTGTTGTTAGGAGATGTTTTTCCTTGGAAAAGGGTATGTTTTTGTTTTTGTATGCCATCGAGTAGCCTGCAACTCACAGCGACCCTTAGTACATTACCTCTGAAACCTGCTCTATCCTGAGACAGTTTCCTCGTTTCCAACAGATCTAATTCCGTTTCTCCAGTCACTGACTCAATTAATCTCATTAAGGGTCATCTTCTCCTGCACTGTCCCTCCATCCTTCCAAACATGGAGATCACGGAACACGTAATTGTGCTCGTGTTAAACCTAATCTTAGAAAAGGGTATCATGTTTGGAAAAGTGGAGGGTTATCAAAAGAAAGACAGACCCTCACCAAGATGGATTGAAACAGTGACTTCAGCAGTGGGCTAAAGTAAATAAGAGAAAATAAATAATGAAGATGGCACAGGATAGGACAGGGTTCAGATCTGTTGTTCACAGGGCCATTTTGAGTTCTCTGTGACTTGATGGTACCAAACAAGAAGAACAAGGTAGTCTCAGAGTCGTGGGGTGGAGTTAATTGTTAGGTTTGGCTACTAAATTGGAAAGTTGGCAATTCTAATTCACCCAGAGGCATATTGGAAGAAAGACCTGATGACCCTTTTCCAAAAATGATACTCATTGCAGTCTCCCTTTCTCTGGTCACATAGTGGTGAGAAGCTGCATTGCAATCCCAAAGTTTTGTGGTTCAAATCCACCAGAACACAAAAGGGCCAGCACACCATTCTTCTTTTACTGCCTAGTCAAGCTTTATCGAGGCAGTCTTTCACTACTTACTACACCTTCTTTCATTAAGGTGGATACTCTGATAGCAATTATCTTGTGTACCTTCATTTTATTTTACGTATTTGTTTATGTTAATAATTAATAATATATATGCTTGTATATAATAGTACATAAAAACAACAACATAGTATATTGCTTGTTTTTATTTAAGCCTCTTGTTTTAAGTTATCAAGACTTCAGGAAGGGTCTTTGTATTTAAAAGTCGGTCGTTATTATTTAGGAGGAACATTCTTCTAAGTGGTACAATACTCTTCTATCAGTATGCTGTACTGAGGTAACCTGGGGTTGTTGTGATGCTGAACCTTGTGCCATGGCGAGTGTCAATTACCCCTGGTGGATAGTGTTCGGTGGAGCTCCCAGTTTAAGACAGGTTTGGAAGCAGGAGTGGCATCCACTTTGTAAACAATATGCTTCTGGAAACTCTATGAACTTTGATAAATGACAATAGTTATAGAAAAGCTGTAGGTCTTTTTTTCATAGGGTTGCTATGAGTCATGCGCAACTTGATAGCAGTAAACAACAACACAGTTATCTTTCTTACTACACCATGAGTTTAATAGAATTTTCTCATGTTTGTAACCATAGCACATAGTGTTAGCCGAAAAGCAGCCATTTGTTATAAAGTTGTACCTTTTTGGATGAATGATTAATGCATAATGTTCATTGTGACTTGACAATAACCACCTACTACCTTCCACTGGTAAATTTTATAATCTCTTGGGAGATTGTGTGGTTAGGAAGAAAGAACCTTGAATTAGAAATAAGTTCGTAGACTTCTTTGAACAATGCAAACTACTTTTCTGAGCCTTGGTTTCCTTTCTCTTTTAAAATAGAATAATAACATCTGCTTTACCTGTATTGTTGTTGTTATGTGCTGTCGAGTTGTTTGTGACTCATAGCGACTCTATGTACAACAGCCCTAAACCCTGCTCTATCCTGTGCCAATCGCACTGCCTCTGACACACCAATCCCGATTACCCCAGTCACTGAGTCAATCCATCTCATAGAGGGTCTTCCCCTCTTGCGCCTTCCCTCCACCCTCCCAAGCATGACGTCCCTCTCCAAGGACCTGTCCCTCCTTGCAACATGCCCAAAGTATGACAGACGAAGCCTCAGAATCCTTGCCTCCAAGGAGTTGCTTGGTTTAATCCTCTCTGGGATGAATCTGTTTGTTTTCTTGGCAGTCCATGGTACATTCAATACTCTTCTCCAGCACTACAGCTCAAAGGCATCAATTCTCCTTCTGTCCTCCCTAGTCATTGTCCAACTCTCTGATGTATAATAAGTGATTGTAAAGACAATGGCCTGTATCAGGCGCACCTTAGTCTCCAGAGAGACACCGTTGCTCTTGAGTACTTTAGAGAGGTCCCTTATAACAGACTTTCCCATCGCAATACGTTTTTTGATTTCCTGTCTGCTGGTGCCAAGAGTGTTGACTGTGGAGCCGAGCAAACTGAAGCTGTGAACAATCTCAGTCTCTTCGCCATCCATCCTGATGCTACCAATTTATCCAGTGGTGAGAATCTTTGTCTTCTTGACATTGAGCCTTAGTCCATACTGAAGGCTGCAGTCCTTGACCCTCTACAGCAAGTGCATGAGGTTCTCCTCAGTTTCAGCAAGCAGGGTTGTGTCATCTGCATAACGGAGATTGTTAATAGATCTTCCAGCAATCCTCATGCCACGATTCTCCTCATAGAGCCCAGCCTCTCAGATAATCTGCTCTGCATACAGGTTGAAAAGGTATGGAGACAGGACACATCCCTGGCGTACACCCTTCCCAATTTTGAACCATGCAGTGTTACCCTGCTCTATTCTGACTACTGCCTCTTGGTCCAAGTATAGGTTTCACACTTGAATTCTAATGAGCGAAGACCAGATAAGTTGTGGGAGGATGTCAAATGTATCATCCAGGAAGAGTGCAAACGGTCATTACAAAGACAGAAGTGGAAGAAAAGACCAAAATGGTTGCACTGGAGCGTAGAGAAGCAAAAGCACAAGGAAGAATTCAAGATACAAAAGAGCTGAACACAAGATACTAAAAGGCAGGTCGGAATGACAAAGCAAAATATTACAATGAAATGTGCGAGGAGCTAGAGTCGGAAAATCAAAAGGGCCAAACTCGTTCAGCATTTCTTAAGCTCAAGGAACTGATGAACAAATTCAAACCTCGAGTTGCTATAATCAAGGATGCTTTAGGCAGAATATTAAATGATCCAGGAAGTATTAAAAGAAGATGGAAGGAATATACTGAGTCATTGTATCAAAAGGAATTGGCAGATACAGAAGAATTTAATGAAATAACATATGAGCCAGAGCCTATGGTGATGGAGGCAGAAGTTCAAGCTGCTTTGAAGGAAATGGCAAAAAATAAGGCCCCAGGAATAGATGGTATACCAATTGACATATTTCAGCTAACAGATGCTGCCCTGGACGTGCTCACCAAGTTGTGCCAAGAAATCTGGAGAGCAACCACTTGGCCAACTGACTGGAAGAGGTCTAGATTTGTTCCCATTCCAAAGAAAGATGACCCAACAGAGTGTGGAAACTATAGAACAAAATCATTGATTTCACATGCAAGCAAGCTTCTACTGAAGATTATCCAAAACGACTGGAACAGCACATCAGCAGAGAATTGCCAGAAGTCCAGGCTGGGTTTAGAAGGGGTCGTGGTACTAGGGATATTGTTACTGATGTTAGATGGATCTTAGCTGAAAGCAGGAAATACCAGAAGAATGTCTATCTGTGTTTCATTGATAATGCAAAGGGTTTGACTCTGTGGATCATAACAAACTGACTTACCTGTGTTATAGAACTGGAAAAAATTTGAGTATTAACCTTGTACTTATTTTTCTTTTAATAAGTTTCATAGGAGAATATACAAAGGAATTCCCCTCCAGCTCAGAGGTGAAGTCTGGGCCTTACTTCTTGAGATCCCTAAAATGAAAGAAGAAACAAGAGGCCTTTATAGTGTGAGTATCTAAAGGTGTCCTGTTAGTGTGAAATTGTAAAGCTGGATTTATTTCTTTTAGCTTTCAAAGTCATTTATAATATTCTTAGTATCACTTAAATTATTAAAATCAAAGTACATTGAGTTTTATAGTTCTGGTATATGTATCTTTGCTATCTTTGTTTATTGCGATTGAATTAGTAGTTTTCAAGTACTATTTTCTTTATTATTACAGAAAGTTACTTTCTGTATTAATCAGTAGCTATCAAGTGCTTTTCAAAGAAAAACTTGTAAGGAAAATTGAGTAACACTTGATGGTAGCTACTCTTTTTCAATGTTGTATTAATAATTAGATGTCCTTTATCAGTTTTAAAGTTGAATTGGAAAATAACAGAATTCCGTATTTGAGACTGATTAACTCTTCTCTTCACATATGAAAAATAAATTTGCCTACATTCTTGTTGTTGTTTTTGTTGTTGTTGGGTGCCATTGAGGCCAGATTGACTCAGAACTGACCCTCCAGCAGAGTTCAAATCTCACGGGAGGAGATTAGCCATTCTTCTCCCACAGAACAGCCCATCGATTGAAAGCATGTCTCTTTGGGATTGCAGTACAGCTCCTTGCCACGAGGCCACCAGAGTGCCACACTATTATTAGTGTATTTTATTAATAACCTGGTTCAGCTTTTAACTCAGCAATCAGAATGCATTCACTAAATTAGGCAATACATTAATTATTGACATTAGACAATCCTTTATCATCTCAGTTAACCTTTGAAAAGAATAAGAATTTTCTAAATTATGATATATGTAACATCCAAGAATTTTAATCCATAAATTTAAAAATATATTTTTGAGATATGTGTGTGTGTAAAATAGAAGAAATTAAAATAGATCAGTTAGAAAAGAGAATTGTTAGCCTAAGTGGTAAGAGGAGTTTAGAATACTTCTTAGTTATTTTTATTGTATATATTTTTCTTTTCAGATAAAATTTAATCAAAATGAAAGATAAAAAATACTGGTTAATACAGAGTTGTTAATTTGGTATGAGTAGGAGATTTAAAATATTATTTGGTCGCTGAAAAGACTAAGAATTTATGGCTGATTTTTGAGTTTGAAATTAATTTAGATTGTGCATTAGTGATTTATTTTTAGATTTATAGTTTTAGAGAGCCACTATTGGAAATGCACTCTTTCTGAGACAACATATATAAAGTATAACCCATGCACCTAATATAGTGTGCTTGTATTTTTGGAGTTTGGGGAGGTTTTGGGGGGGGGTTTTATTTGTTTTATTTATGAAAGAAGGAAAAGACCTTTACTTAACTGCTAATGTAGCGCTGTAATTTTCAGTTATATTTTAGGCTTTTTTCATATAGGATAAAATTTCTGAAGCTTGATTAATATGAGGTAATCCTTTAGTAAAAATCAGTGTTCCACAATAGATATTACTCTTCCATCTAGGGTTTTCTGCTTATAGTTTCCAGTACTGCTATAAACATTATTTTTACTGTTACAGCATTATTTTTAAACCAACACTTTATTTCTTTAATTTTTTTAATTGCAATTTTAGTGAGAGTTTACAGAAGGGTTAGGTTTTCCTTCATTCACAGATACACATTTTCCTTTTCCTCCATCTCTCGATTCACTTTGCAGTGCACTCCTTGTTCCAGATTCTTAGTGGTCATACCTATAATGCCTAATCATACATCCCTTTCAGACATTCCTTTCCTTCATCTAATCCAGTGCAGCGTGTATTATCTGTTCTCTCCTCACTGCCCCGTGTCTGTTGTATCATTATTCTTCAAGTTTTCTTTATCACTTGTTTGACCTTTCTCGGAAGAAAACTCTTTGCTAAGTGCCAAAGAATGTATAAAGATTGTTAGGTAGTGTCTAGAAACTTTTCTATTTAGGGAGACATTTTTGCACAAAAATACTTAATACTAGTAATTATTTTTGTTGTTGATTGCCTTCAAGTCGAGCACAACTCATAGCAACCCTATGAACAAAAGGCCTATGATAAAAATTCCAAAAATCATAAAGCAAGAGAGTTGCTGTATTTTAAAAGAAGACAAGAAATCACCCTTGATCCTCATGATTCAGGAAGATTTCATAGACTAGGGAGTACCTGAGGTGGCAGCTCTGGTGACACAGTGCATTAAATGTTGAGCTGCTAGCCGAAAGGTTGATAGGTCAAATCCTCTAGCAGCTCCACAGGAAGGAGATGGACAGTCTCCTCCCATTAAGATTTACAGCCTCAGAAACCCTGTAGAGGGTCACCACAAGGTCAGATCTTCTTATTGGCAGTGGATTTTAGTGGAGCTAGACTTCATTTACTGTAACACTGATGTGTCAAATGCGTTAATGGTTGGCTACTCAATGCGGACAGAGAGTGGGGTGGAGCTCCCCAATTAAAACAAGCTTGGAAGGAGGCATGGCATCCACTCCCATAATAGCTTGCCTCCAGAAACCCTATGAACCTGGAGAGAGGATGAAAGGCACCCAAGTGTCGAGAACTCTCCTTCATAGGGTCGCTATGAGTCGCCTGGGACTCGACGACACTTAACAGCAACAACAACAACAGACTTCATTTATGACAGGAGAAAAAGGAAGAGAGAGGAAGTAAAAGATATTTGAAGCTTCATATTGCTGTGTTTTTAAAAATACAGTATCTACTTTTCTTTGAGGAGAGTTAACATTATTTAAACACTTTTATGTGTGACTGCTTTTCTAAATGCTTCATGTGAATTAAGTAATTTTCCTCTTGCAGTAATGCCAAGAGGCAGGGTTTTATTTTTTAAAAAACTTCATTTTTTGCATTTTACAGATGAAGAAACTGAACTTAGTGAAGTAGAATAACTTCCCTGAGGTTAGAAACTGGCAAAAGATTTTTAAATACAAGTTACTCTGGCTTTTGAGCCAGTGCTTTCATTTACTCTGTTCATTTATACCCATCTCATTTTTATTTTTCTTTCTCCCATCCCTCCCTCTGCCCCTCAATCTCATTTCTTTTTCTCTCTTTTCTTTTAGGGACGTATCTGAGAGTGGTAAAGGCTTAGTTAGTGGTGATGAACAGCCTCATCTACAGCCTTAGTATACATAACTCAATAATCATGTAGGCCAAGCCACAGCAAATTTTCATGTACATGCTTTTGACTATATTTCTGCCTTTAGGTCTATGGATTAATTAGATTTTTTAAAAATGATAATATTTATTTTTTAAATAAATTCATTACATTTATGACATTGCATATATATATCCACCTACCCAGTCTCAGATAATCTTTATGCTTCCTGTCATAAGATAAATGCATTAGAGGTCCTGTATTCTGTACCTTAGCTTGTAAATTTTGTAGGCCGTAATGGTTTTGATACCACCCCCTCCCCACCAAAAAAAAAAAAAACAAAAACCCAACCCAAACCTGCTTAACTAGGCCTGACTTCTATTATGTGGCTTCTTTCTTTCTTATTTTGTTTTAAATTGATTTATTCCCTTCATAGTAACAAGTTAGCAACTCTTCCACAAGGAGGTATTTTATATGTGGCTTCTGTTTATATTAAACTTTTTCTATCCTTTAGGTTAACTGATGATGTAAGTTTATTTGGGTGTTTTCTTTATTCCAATTAAATTTTAATTATAAAGCTTTTTCCTCCCTTTCCATAATACCTTATTAAGTATGTTCTTTTTAATGTTCCTATATTGAATATTTTACCAGTAGATCTGTAGAACAATAATTAAAACATGTTCACTTTCCCATTACCTATTTATTTTCATTAGCTATTAAATGAACAAGCATGTATAGGTGCTTTTTCTTTGTTTTGTTTTTTTTCTTTTGGAAGCTACATTTTTGTAATATCTTCTGGGCCAACTTTTATCAGAAATAGTATACAGTAATTTTTTATTTTCTTTTTTTGTGTGTGTTTGTGCAGTCAAATCAGATCTGACTGGTACAGGAGGAGGTTACCCTCCTTCTCTAGCAGAGCATCTGGTGAATTTGAACCACTCACCTCTGGATTTTCATTCAGCTTCCTGACAAGAAGCCACCAGAGCTTCCTACAATAATATTTTTGCAATAGTATGGTTCTTTTAGGAACTCTTGTGGCCCATGTGATAAAGAGTTGTGCTGCCAACCCAGAGGCACAAGATTCAGATCCAACATCTGTGCCATGTTTGTTATTGTTGTTTGCCTTTGAGTTAGAACTCACCTAAAGCTGACCCTCGAGTGGTTTTTGGAGGCAATAATGGAATAGAGGGAGGTTTTCCATCCTTTTCCTGCAGAGAATCTGGTGGATTCAAACCATGTGCCTTTGGGATTGCAATGCAGCTTCTTACAAGTAGGCCAATCAGAGTTCCCTATATCTCCATGTAGTGGTGACAGAGTACCATTGATTTGGAACTGACCCATAGTTGACCCTCCAGCAGGTTTTCAGAGGCATTAAATCTCATGAAAGTTGTTCATCTTTCTCCCACAGAGCAGCTGGTTAATTTAAATCGTATACTTTTGCATTGGCAACACAATTCCTTACCGCTCGGCCACCAGAGCTCCCTATCTCCATGTTTAAGATCTGAAATAGAGTATTAGTGACTCTGAAGTAAAATCTAAGTATTCTTCATGTTCCACAAGCTACAAAAGATACTCTTCTCTAAGATCCCATCTCAAAACACAGAAAACATATTTTCATAAAGCATTTAACAAACACATATTCCAGACATACCTAGATATCCTTTCCATTTTTAGCCAGATTCAAGAACTAATATGTTTTATGTATATTTAGAGATTGAGCACTGGTAATATAGTGTGTGATCTGTTGGGCTGCTAACCCAAAAGCTGGCAGTTCAAATCCACCAGTCACACCATGGAAGAAAGATGAGCGGTCCCCTTCTGTAAAGATTTACAACCTCAGAAACCTGATGGAAGATACTAATGAATCCAAACTAATTTGACAGCAGTGGTCTGAGACGGAATTACACACACACACACACACACACACACACACACACACACACACACAAAACACATTACCAGTACATGATAAGTGCGTCAGCATAACATGAGTATAGATGCTTAATTGTACTTACACTTGGTTTTATATAAATGAATATTCATTTTAATATGCCTTCTAGTTAAACGTGAAGATTAATCTAACTCCACTTCCTCCTGAAACGCTATTAAATTCATAAACCGAGTTTTTAAAAATATAAACCCCCTAAAAAACCAAGAAAACTAGAGAAGAGATAACAGCGACTTATTTTTAAAAACTGGAATATAATTTTTGTCTGGCAGTGGGAAATTGGAGAAGCAACTTGATTTATATCTCAGAATCTCTAAAAGATTTGGTAATTGCCAAGAGAGGGCTGAGCTGATGAGGGAAAGGTATGCCTCATGGGGAAGCTGCCCCATCATCCTGTCATGTCCCATGTCGTTTACATTTAATAAACTGCAAACTTTATAAAATGAAATTTGGGTCTGGCAGTGGGAAATTGCAAAAACAACCTGATTTATATTCCAGAATTTCCAGAAGGCTTAGTAATTGCCAATACAAGGAAGTGGTGGTAAAACTAAAAAGTCAAGTTGTTGAAAGCCTATTTTAAATGCCCCTACGTGCGCTTCCCCAATATAGCACAAGACTGATAAAGCAGGCTTTTGAATGGGGGAATAAACATACAACATTGCTGAGGGTGGGGCTGCTATAATGAAAACAGAAGACTTGAATACCCCGAAGTTTGGACATTCCCACAATTTCTTCCACTCAGTTTCCTGGCTGCTAAGTGCTTGTCTTAGACAGGATCAAAGAGCCTTCTGTGAAGAATGACAAACTTATGAGGAAAAAGTACATACAGCTGGGGAACCTCAGTGAAACTGCACAGCCAGATCACCAATGACAACACAGTTTGAAAGCCCCAAATGCACCTTTTTAGTATCTACTTTTAAGTATAAGCAATGAAGTATTACTAGTCATTTGAAGAAAGAAGCAAACATGAATGACAAAACAAAGAAATGTAATAAAACAACTGTAGAGTGCTGTGACAAAGAAAAACGAAGGCCTTATGAGTATTTAAAAAGATAATATAAAAATTATGAAGATATAAAAACTGAAGACATTTTCCAGAATGTGGGTTAATAAAAGATAGTATAATAAAAAAATTGTAATAAGAGTCAGAAAGAGAAAATGAAAGTGGATGAGGAAATCACCAAAGGAGTTATTAAAGAAAATGTCCCAGAATTGAGATAACTTTTTAAGACAGAAAGTATCCATCAAGTATCTAGCCTTTGGATAAGAATAGATTCACCTCAAAAAAAAGAACAACTTCAGAGCATGGAGAACAAATAACTCCTATAGATTTCAAGCAAGAAAAACTAAAAAAAAAACCAAAAAAACAAACCAACCAAACAAAAAAAAACCCAAAAAACATTTCATGTAAAGAATCAAAAATTAAAATAACAACACTGGAAACTAAAAAGTAGAAGACAGTGAAACAGTACCTTTTTGCAAAAAATGTTTTCCATTTTTCGATTCTAAAACAGCCAAAGAGTTATGAGAATAGATTTATCAAATCATTCAATATTTTTTAAAAATTTCTATTACTTGCACCTCTTCACAGGAGCTATTAGAAGATGTGCTTCTCTAGAACAAGAGACTAACCCAAGAAAGAAGACCCAAGATTCTGAAAGCTCAACATAAGAAAAAAGCAAAGGAAAATCCAAAGAAATAATGAAGAGAAATTTCAAAACCCCAGCTATACAGCAACCTTAGAGATCAGCCCACACTAGAATAGATCAGGGAAATGAGTCTTAAACAAGATGAAATTGGGTGAGCTCTGGTGGCCTAGTGACCAGAAGCTGCACTGCAATCCCAGAGGTGAGTGGTTCAAATCCACCAGATGCTCTGCTGGAAAAGGAGGGACAATTTCCTCCTGTACCAATAAGATCCGATTTGATGGTACACATGCAAAACATAATTTTTTTTAAAAAAAAAGATGAAATTGATAGAATATTTAACATCTCCAAAACTATTTCTCCAATTTAGAGTGCATTTGGGATTTAATTCTGTAGGACAGAGTATATGACTACCCCATCGTTGTAAATTTGTATGTGAGCACACTGCTTCTTCTTCTCCCCCTTGGCAGCTGGGGAGTTCCAGCTATTGACCTTCTACGTAACCCACTGAACCACCAGGAGCTCAAAAGCAATTATCAGCTCCAATGGGAAAAAAATACTATGTTGGAAAGGGGGGGAAAAATATAGTAGACTACATGGTTCAGCTATGAAGATACAAACTGCAGTTGGTTTGTTTTGGTTTTAGTTTAAAAATCTAACTCTCTTGATATCAGGGTAAGCAGGAAAAAGTGGTTACAGAAGAAGGTAAGAACAAAATAGATGGGGGACATGAGTGGGAGGGAAACTTAGGTACTTTCTTATATTTTTATTTTTTGTTATGGAAATTATTTTCTTAGTGGAAAAAAATTTTTTTAACTATGTGTCTAAAGCTTTCAGTAATTGATTTCCATAAATGTGCTTTCTTTCCCCTTTTTCCTCTTCAGAAATTAAAACACAGAGCACGGGGTTGTTCACCTGATATCAGACAGATTGACCTTGATGTCAACCGCACGTTTAGGGATCATATTATGTTTAGAGACAGATATGGTGTTAAGTAAGTAAAATTTAATATTGTTAAATGTAAATAGAATTTCTAAGTGCTCTTTACCAAAAGTCTTTATTAACTTTATCGAGGATCTCTTGTGTAGATTATAATTTTGAATCAGATGCTAAAAGTTAATGTTTTTATAGATTATTTAAATTGATGTTGTGTGAAATTTAGGATTTAATTCAACTAGATAAATTACATTTTTTTTAACCTTTTGACATAGTAGCTGCAATACAGTTAGGAAAGAATAATTTTATGATCTTGCAACTCTGAAAAAGTAATTTTATTAAAAAAAAACAGAAAAACAGGGGAGATTGTGTTACTACTTGAAAACTATCAGTGATAAAGATATCCATAGAGTATTTACTTCATTCATAAATGAAACTTTTAAAATTATTATTTTTAAATTGTGTTGTTGCTATTATGTGCCACTTAGTTGGAATCAACCCATAGCTGATCTTCCAGCAGGTTTTCAGAGACAATAAATTGCACAGGGGGAGATTTGCCCGTCTTTCTGGAGCAGCTGGTCAATTTGAACCACGTGCCTTCTGATTGGCAGCACAATTTCTTACCCACTAGGCCACCAGAGATCCCTATTTTTAACGTAATTAAGTATAGCATATGTTTACTGACATTAAGTTTATCATTGCTATGACAGTTTATGAAAGAAAGGTACAGTTTTGCTATCTGTATTTGTATGTCTTATATTGACTATAAAGAGAGCTCGGTTTGTTTAATGGTAATGAATTGCACTGCTAATCCAAAGACATGTGATTGGAATCTACCAGCTGTTCCGAAAGAGAAAGATAGACAGTCTCCTGTGTGATTTATTGCCTTTAAAACCCTACTGAAGGGTCAGCTATGATTGTTCTAACTCAATAGTAAATAACATCATTTTGTTGTTGTTAGCTGCTGTTAACAGTGGGTAACAGCATCATCTTGTTCTTCTTGTTGTTGTTAAGTGCCATCGAGTCAAGTATGACTCATAGCAACCCTATGAACAAAAGACTGTACCCAGTCTTGTGACATTCTCACACTTCCTGACACACGAGCCCATTGCAGCAGTCAACATGTCAGTCCACCTGGTTGAGGGTCTTCCTCTCCTTCGCCAACCCACTACCCTTCCCAGCATCATGCCCCTCTCCAAGGAGTAGCTCCAACTACCAATATGTCCAAAGTAAGTGAGATAAAGCTTCATCATTCCTGCCTCCAAAGAGCACTTCTGCAGCCTCTCTAAGACATATCTGTTCTTTCTCTTGGCCATCTATGGGACATTCAGTGTTCTTCTCCAACGTCACAGCTCAAAGACGTCAATTCTTTTTCTGTCATCCCTTTTCATTGTCTAGGTCCCAGATGCATCACTAGTAATCGGAAAGACTATGGCCTGAATCAGACACACCTTAGTCCTCAAACTGACATCATTACTCCTCAATAATTTGGAAAGCATCATAGACTATAATATTGTTACATAAAGTTAACTGTTAATAAGTTGTATTCATAAACTACATCTTTTGTTAGATGATAGGGAATGAAAGAAGAAAACAAAAATGCTGGCTTAATGTCTATTCAAACATTCATGACAAATTAAGGAAATACTCATTACTATATTAGAGCTCTTATTTCAGCAGATGGTTCTATAATCACAGATAATATTTCACTATCTTTCACTACCATTCAGTATTCCATTTTCCCTCAGCAAGTGCTTCAGCTTATCATGGTTCTCAGCTTGCTAAAATGACCTAAAGTGTAATTCTTGAAGTATCTGAATTTAGTAGTCATGTCTGAATTGGATTGTTATAATTTTCCATTGGATTTAATTACAGGGCAGTAGAACTAAGAGATACCTTTTATTCCAAATGTATTCTTCCTTACCTTTGTGCATAGTAGAATTCCCAGTATCCCTAGATAATGAGCATCAGTAACCTCAGTCACTATAACAACCTCATCTTCACCTATTGATTCAGAAGCATAAGAATACTAAAGGGATTGAGTGGAATATCAACTTCCAGATCAGTGAAATCATAATTTTTTTATTTTTTTAAATTTTTTTAAAAAATTTGATTATCTTTGTGTGTGTACCATCAAATCAGATCTGACTGGTACTGCAGGAGATTGAACCTCCTTCTCCAGCAGAGCATCTGGTGGATTCGAACCGCGTGAAATCATTATTATGTCTCCTAGGGAAGCATTCCTCCCTTTGGACTTCTAAACCAGCAGTTGTGGCGATGAAAACCAGAATTACCACTAAGAAAATAGTAGTGACACTAATGACTGATGCCATTCCCATTTTCCCGCCTTTATTCCTAGACCTGTGATTCCTAACTATAAGCAAAATAACACCAAAGACTGAACATTTGTTTAGAGCACATATATAACTTGAAGTACACTGCCTCCGCTCCAGAAGTTATTGTCATAGAGTCGGTACGGTAGTTGAGTCTTCAAAAGACCATTCCACTAATCTAATAAGGTCATTTGCTTCTGTGGTGATGATTTTAGAATGAGAGTTTGACCAAAGAGGGCAACAGATTTGGTGTATGATTTTTATTTATTTTTTTTTTTCTATGAGCATGAATGTTAGTCTAGACTGTATAAAGTATTAAGTTTGATCTTGGTGTCATAGCTTTATTACAGTAGTAATTTTCTTTATTTCAGCCGATTTGTTGGTGTTTTTTAAAAGTGTTGGTGACTTAAAATGTATATGAAATAACTGTGGAGTTTAATGTAAATATTTTTCCTCTAGGCAACAGTCCTTATTCCACGTTCTTGCTGCTTATTCTATATATAATACGGTAAGTTAGAGCATGATTACCCACAGGTCTTTGAGTTGTGTTCTGAGGAACTGGAGTCACTCTTCTACTACAATGTCCTCTGGACCACAATTCTTCATTTGAGGATTAGTTAGCTTCTACACTCTCTTTCAGCATTGTGATTGTTTGTGGGTTTTTTGGTTGTGGTGGTGGGTTTTTTGTTTTTGTTTGTTTTGTTTTTAAGATCTTGCTATAACCTGAGGGCCTTAGGGAAGGATTTGGAAATGGAAATATGACCACAATATGCCAGTGAAGCCCATTTTTATCTCTCTGTGACTTGTTTCCTTATGTTTTGGTATTGAAAAATTTTAAAACAGAATGAGCAGGAGATAATTTTCATGTAGTATTGGCTAGTTTTTCTTCTCAGTTTCTTTTTTCCAATCTTTCACTGTATCCTTTCTTTTTGCCTCATACTTGTATCAAGAAACCCTTGAATATTTGTCTTCATTTTATTCATTACCTTACTTAATATTCTCTCTAAAAGAAGACACTGTTCCTAGAGCGTATTTTCAGTTAGTTGAAGATTAGCTTTGTGCATAAATAAAACTATAAAAACTTACCTCTCTTCTTATTTGTTTCATAGCATTACAAGGCTAGATTAATTGTTTTTAAGATTAATTTTTATTTGACTCTATAGAAACCCTTCATTACTTCTGAGAAGTTGCCTTCTTTTGTAATTTTTTTATCCATTAGGTCAGGTCAAAACAGGGCATTCATAGACACTTAGTTGCTATTATCAGGAGCAGGCTGAAACTAAACTCTTTGGTAGTACAACCTGCTGTTCCTAAGGTGCTTACCAGTCTAGGGGAGAAGGTAAGTGGGGGAAAGGTTAATTAGTGTTAACATAATGTGAGTGTTAAATGCTTGTTGACAAGGTCCCAGAGAGGACAACCTTTGAACCATGAGAAGCATAATTTCTATTGTAATCAAGACCTTTACATTAGAAGGTGCAAAAATTCAGTTAACCTAGGACAAGTTAAAAAGGACTGCTCTCAGAAATAAAAAAATAAATAAATAGTTGGGGCTTGCAGGAACTAGAGTCAGAAAGTCTAAATCTTTATTGAAAAAGATACTCTTGGGTCACTGTGGTACCTCTGATTGTCTCTGAACTTTATTTACTACTTCTTGCAACTGAAATGGTATCTACACACTCAATGAAGTCATACTATCAAGTTCACACTGCTATCTGATTTGGTAGAGAGAATCTGATTAGTTATTCTCAGCCAATTAGTTATTCCCCTGGGGTCAGCTGTCTTCTCTGGCCCATCAGTATGGTCATATGGCACAAGCCATGAATTAAGCAGGGACTGTAATGCGAGGCAGAGGGGCATTCATCAGGGAGCAACAGCTAGAATGGCCTCCTAAAATATGTCTATTCAGAGATCTAGATGAGGAAAATGCATTGAGTATTTTTGCCAGTATCTGAGCAAAGAAAAGAAGTGCTGAGCTGAGAATTATACATAAAAAAGAAGTTATGGTAATATTATTATTCTTTAAAGACTGTAACGATGTTGAACAGAGGACAATAAAAGAATAAATAGTTAATGTATTTTGTCTCCTATCTAAATTTATTCTTAAATGTAATTTTAGTTTCATAGAATTTACCTCTAAAATTGTCCATTAACTGTGTTTAGTAGGCATTTGCTGACATTTTATAGTTAAGAGTATTATATGCATACACACACATACAAGTTTTATTGACAAACTCCCAGTTTCTTTGTTCATTTATTCTTTAGGAAGTTGGATACTGTCAGGGAATGAGCCAGATCACAGCTTTACTCCTCATGTATATGAATGAAGAAGATGCCTTCTGGGCCCTGGTCAAACTATTCTCAGGTCCCAAGCATGCTATGCATGGTAAGAAAACTTTATCTCATATAATACAAATAGACAAGAGGAATGAATAAAATTAAAACAAAAGTTTATAAGTTCTAGGTAGACTAATATACCAAATTTAATGTCCAAGGACTTGTTTAATAAGTATTTATTCCTAAATATGTATTTCATTTGTCTTTATTTAACCTTTCTAAGCTTTCTTGTTCAAACATATTTTCTTTTCCTCAAGTGTATTTTTGGCATTAAATTATTTATTTACTTGGCTCTAATCAAAAGGACCTAATTTAGATTCAGAAGAATTTAGAAAAAGCTATTCCTCCTTTAGAGAAAATGGAACTCTGATGGCCTAATGGTACAGAGTTGTACTGTCAACCCAAACGTAGGTGGTTCGAATCCACTAGTTGCTCTGCAGGAGAAAGATGAGCAGTTACCTCCCATGCAATATACTGCCTTTGAAAACTTACTGGAGGGTCAGTTACAATTCAGTTTCCACTTGACCAATACAACACCTTAGAGAAGAGATGGGAGTTCTTCTGGTCTGGTGAACACTGCAAACACAAAGGCATACTGTTCAAATCCACCAGCTGCTCTGAGGGAGAAATGCAGTTTACAGCCTCTAAAAATCTGCTGAACGGTCAGCTATGAGTTGTTTCCAACTTGATGGCACAAAACAACAGCTGAGAGAAGTTGCTATTTGATTAAAACTCTTAAACAGTTAAGAAATTATCATTTCTATGAAATAGTTCTTAGCTGGATATTGTGACGCATTACTTTGTCAAAAAATAATGATTGAGAAATGACAGGTGTTTAAAGAAATAACACGTAATAGTTGTGTATTCACCTGATGGTATGCATAGGAATCAGATCGACTACATCTGTGGAAGGAACCGCTGGAGAAGCTCATTATCAGCTGTGAAAACTAGGCCGGGGGCTGATTGTGGAACAGACCACCAATTACTCATATGCAAGTTCAAGCTGAAGCTGAGGAAAATTAAACCAA